AGGCTGCGAACTCTTGATAGAAGCGAACAGGAAGCAGGCTAGAAGCGGAAGCGACCGTTGGCACAAGAATTTTATTGCCCTGAGGTTTCAGATCCTCGCGCGACCTATCATCCGCTGAAAAGGTTAATAGCGGCACAAGGTGCGCTGTGGAGCAAGTCAACCACACGCTCGCTATTATTGGGGGTCGTTGGGGGTCGTAAGTAATGCAACGACTGCTTTTTGGTTCGCACCCGAGTAGCTAATTACCGTAATTGTATCGCCGTTTTCGATTCTTGGCGTGACGATTACTCGGCAATTTGGCTCGCTGTCGCCGTGACTACTGGTCATCCACACCCTCCCTGTGTGACTTATAATGGGGCCCAGGCGAAATCGCAGCACCGAATATAGAGGCAGAAGGCCATTTTGCTTGTTAATTACGTCAGCCACAAACGCAAACGCTTAAGTGCTCTATATCCGTATGTCGAAGTGCATTGCGGTGAACCGGAACCCGAGGTTGCCGAACTACGATGGGTGCTTAGAGCTCACGGTTACTCGTGACATTGCCTGAACTCTGTTGGCAAGTGCAATCATCAAGGAACTTGAAAGTTCGTTGATATACTCTGCGAACGATGGTTCAATTCCCCATTGGATTCGGATTTGAAAACCTTCACTCGTGCGTGGAAGTATGTCGTCATTTTCGGCAAAAACCACGAAGTAGCCACTATAATCAGAATTAGAAAACATTGAACCAACTAGAAAGTGGTTAGCTGGCTGGCCATATAATCGCCATCTAGAAACCCGATATGAATATAAGTAAGGCAAGTTTAAAGTGTTTTCTTGGACCTACTTGTGATAAATGTGGCAGCCTCGTTGGTATTCGACTATAGGACAGCAAAAGCGAGGCTTGGATACAGCCAACACTAATTACCCGAGTTATGGGACTCCGCCGGGAGCCGTGATTTGGAGCATGTCTATGTCAAGTTACCCGTCGGCCTAATGCAGCATATGCAATCCGTCAATTCTGACATTTTAAACTGACGGCCCAAGTAGGGTTTCCTAAACAGTCAATCCAGAATCGACTAGGTGACTACCAGGCTCACGTACTTAAATAGGAGGGTTTTGCAGATTTTAAAGAGTTCCTTTGACCCACTGCAAAGAGGTGGCTCAGTTAGTCAGAGCCTTGACTATATTTAATTCCGGTACCTACCGTGGTTTCAATTTTCACGGAGGCCGCCGTTTTTTCATAATTTTGTCAACGTAATTATTTCAATTTTGCTTTACTTATGTTCACATTGGAGGTTATGTTGGTATAATATCGGTCACCGTGTTCCATTTTTGTGTATTTATTTTATCCTATGTAAGCAGGTGCTTTATGTCCGAAATTAATTGACCAAAACATAAAGGCACTTCGTAGGTTTAATCCATCTTACCCAATTATGATAAAAACTGGAATGCATTGCTGCAGTATGTATCCGCCACAGCAAGTCCAAAGCTTAAGTAGGGCCAACGTTCTAGAGCTACGAGGTCTCGACCGGGAGCCATGAGTCTAAGTCTACTGAACAAATCAAACTTACTACAACGCATAAAATTAACTAATTCTGAAACGGACTTTCCTAAGCGATCATTGCAAGATTTACTAGAAGACTGTCAGGTTTACTTTATCACTAATTACTTTTTGACAATAGAGGAGAATATAAGAGTTCCAGGCAGCAGTTCAGAAGAAGAAGATGCGATCACTGGAACAAGGACTTTATTTTCCTGACCCTATCTGCGCATGTTTCAGACTGTTCTTTGATTACCTATGATAATGGATTCCCGAGGGAATCCAAAACGTCAGGAAAATAAAGTCCTTGTTCCAGTGATCGCATCTTTTTCTTCTATTTTTTGACAATTAAGTATACTTCAACTGACCCAATCGTGAAAAACTGGGCAGCCTCAGTGGGGTTCTAATCAAAGTTATTGCCCTAACTTTGCTTGCTTACGATTTTGATATTGCCAGAAAAACCTCATTTATTAGAAAAGGGTGATTTTTCTTGACTGTTTTGTAACTGGTTGCACGGGTGAAGATTGTTCGTAGAAATGTAAATTGAAACGATTGTAGAAGAGTTTAATAAGAGGTGGCAAATTTCTTGCCGCCTTCAAGGAATATCAAAGGGAAGACAGTGCATGACGCCCGACATCCTTATTGTGCTGTTTTCTTTCATGAACCGAGAAGCTCCTTAACAGCAGGAAACAGCCAACTTCTTTAAATTCCACCAAGTTGTTTTTTTTTAATGTGTATTAAAATTTTAAAACTCGATGACAATAGATCATTAGCCAAATAAATTGTGTCGTTGCCTTTTGATTGGTCTGGTTGAGCGTTATTCACAATTATTTTGGCCGAAACGTGGACCATCAGTGAGTTTGAGCTGCGGGACTCTAGCAGCATGGGGTCTATTATGACTAAAATTACCTTTGCTTCCGACAGCCGGATATTATGATTTTCGGAAGTGATCGAACTTAGGCTTCTTTGTAGTGAAGACTCACACGAGGCGCTCTATTGGTTCTGCCCCCAACTGCAACTGGCCGTGGAGTTAATATTAAGTTGTTTTTAATCCCAAAGTTCATCGAGCTGTAAACGTTTAGCACAATCGGCAATGCCTACTAGGCGTTGTACAGTCGAAGGGTGGGAAAGATGGATCATAGCAAGCTAGTACTGCTCTCCTCTGGTCGGAAAACTGCCGTTTTTTGGTTTTCCGAAATTGTAGGTATGTTTGATTTTACGCCTACCATCAATTTGAATGGTTATCAATAGAGGAGAAGATGCGAGTTCCAGGCAGCAA